GTAGTCTGACTGACACCTGAGCTGATGGAGGGCAAGCTGGGTGGGTTCACAAGATGCATAATAAATTGCAGAGGTGTGAGGCTGTTGCAGCAAATCAGGTGATACTGAAGAGTAACCAAGGTCATTACAAATCCTCAGCATAAAAACACCTACTTCCATGGATGCAGAGAGTTGGGTGGATCTCAGGTCAGCATCCTACACTTCCGGGAGGGTATATTTTGTCTGATAATTGATTCACTGCTTAAATGGCTGCCCCAGAATTCTGTAGGGGTTAAAAGAAATTTGCTTATCTAGTCACAACATATTTTCACTTCTGTTAATGAAACTGTTGTTAGAGTTGGCAATGGATTATTCAGTGCCTTGGACATGAAACCTTGATTTGGACACGGCACATATGTTGATAACAGGCATTACTTGTCCTGTCTTTACAGCTTTGCATTGCCAAACATTTAGTATGTTTGCAATGGATCCTTGGCTTGAAAGATCACAGCCATTGCATCTTGAAATTGATTTTCTTCTACGGAGAGATGTTTGAAGCAAAAACCAATTTGGTTTGTATAAACTACATTAGAGATAAGAAGATATCCCTCAGAGTGCACAGGATCACCTTTGAAGCCATTTTCACCCTACCGTGAATAACAAGTTATACAATAAAGAGAATTTCTTACAGCTGATCTGATCTCTACCCATCCGTGAGTTGGCTCTGAAATGAGATAAACCTATCTACTCTAATTCAGGACAGGTGTATCATCCTTCCCAATCATATTACAGAGACTCATGAGGCCTAATGGTGTAACCCTGAGCATATAACCAGGGCAAGTAAGGCAGCTTTATCTGGGGGATATCAAGGGACTTGCCTTGTAAACAAGATGCTGCTCACACTGTCTTCAGCTGGTCTGGAAGTTAGTCTGTGGGGTTCTACCTGCACTGCTTGGCAGTTAATGGTGGCTCTGGAGAGCCACATATGTGTCTTGCTTTTCTCTTTGCATACATTCAGTGTCTTGTACCTTTTCTCTTCCTCTATCTGAGTCTGTCCTTCCAGTCTGGTCCTCAGTTGGTGCCTGTCGAGGTACTGTGACAGACAGCCTAGAGAAAGAGCAAAACAAAGTATGCTTAAAAGGGAAAAGCAGTGAGGAAAAACCCACAACAAAAGCACCACCTTTTCCTTCCTCTGTCCCTCCCTCTCCCCCTCCCCTTCTATCTCTTGGTCTTTTGTAATAGGTTTTCCTGATGTGTACTAGCATCTAATTTGTAGGATATCTAAGAGGTATGATGGTTTAGGGAAATCCCCACTCTTCCCTAAACATAAGGTTGCCAGCTTCAGTTTATTTAAGACTGTGTGTGTTTTGTGGGCTCTGTATTGCTGTTGTCTCTTGGCAGAAGTGTCAGGTTAGCTCAAGAACACTGAGAAGTTTCCCCAAACAGGAGCAGGTGGACTCCTAGCAATAGGTGACAACCCAGGTTGTCCATGATAGGGAAAAAGACCCTGGCTGACCAGGCCTGGGGCAGGCACTGGTTGTTCTGCATGGAACAGGGTGACATTCACAGCTGAGCTTGTTGCTTTTGAGAGCAAAAAGCAAATCTGTTGGTTTGACTGTCTGCAGCTGTGAAAATGAAAGGCCCCATATTCATGTATCACAATAATTGATGGTAGATGTCAAAAGGTGCCTGAGAGCACAAGCATCCAGAAGCAAAAGGAAAGGTTCATGGTGCCTCAACTGGATTTTGTAAGAACTAAATGGATTAGGGGAAGAAAAAGAACACGTCCTTAACCTGACTTCAACTTTTTGTGGCACATAATAATCGTAGCAGCTGTGGGTGGATGGATGGGCACGAAGGGACTGCATGCTACCCAGTCTGTGATTTAAAAGGTCAGCCCTGAGCTGCTTTAATGTAAGGCAATGTAGAGTTAAGAACTCTGTTTCCTATATTGTGTGTTCTGTGAGCTCGTGTGCAGGGCTGTGCTGAGACCTGGGGAGCCCTTTCTCCACAGGCTGTGGAGGCTCCATCAGTGATGAGTGTTGAAAGATTGCTGTTGATGTGCTGTGCATGCCCTGGTTATGCTGTACCTTCCCTTCCTGGTATGACATGCCTGCTTCTGGGGGGACTGATGCCAGCCTCAGGGCAGCCAGTGGGAGCCCACTTACCTTTGGTGGGACCCTGATGGAGTGAGAAGTCAGGTCTATTCAGGCAGTTGCAAGTTGTTCCTTGGAGGCTGCTCTTTCTAGGACACTTGGCTTCCTGGTGCATCCTGCAGCCTACTTGTCAGCATATTATCAGCTAATTTAAAATTGCTCAAACAAGCTGTTATCAGTGCATGAGGCCAAAGGGTATTAGTGGGCATGACAAGGAAGGTTTTATGAACCACTTCATAAAGCCAAATCCCCAGGAGCTATTGAGGCTGTAATTAGATTTGAGGATAATAAGATTATTTTTTTTTACTCCTCTTTTTTCCCCTCTTTCTTTTTTTCCTGGTAGCAAATCAAGGGAAAAATTGGAGCATTTGGTTTATTCTTGCGTATTCAGAGTTTGGCTTCAGGCTCTTTACTCAGTAGCACAAAGGGACTACAACTTGATATCAGGTAGCCTGGGAGAAGTGTGAGCATGAAAGTACAGTAGTGTTTTGCTGTGGACCTTGTGGATCCCTTATGGTTGTGCCTTGAAGAGGCCTCCCAAGCCCTACAAGCAATTAATAATGAAATCAACTAATAAGAAGATCTGCAATGCCAAGAGAAGACAAGCCAGTATTTTGTTATGGGGAGAAAATGAGCAAACCAGCAGGGGACATGCTGATCGTGTCTGATTCATGTCATCTCTATAATCCCAACTAAAGTTTTAACAGCCTGGGAAGATGAATTACCCACTCTAACCAACACAGGGAGCAGCATGGGGTTTATTAGAAGTAGGCTATCATTTAACAATGTCAGGAGTATATTTATTATTAAGCAGTAGTCTCCACAGTCTAAATGGAAAACCATCACTCCTCCTTAGACACTAAACAAGGTATGTTCATAAAGCCAAATGGCCAATATATTGTATGCTTGCATGAACACAAATACTAGGTCCACTTTACTGGACCTCAGGGCTTTCTATGTTTAGCTAGAGAAAATAAACGGAAAGATTTGAAGCTACTGAGGACAAAGCTGTACACCATATGCTATTTTAAACTCTCAAAACTCCCTGGTGACTTCACTCTAGTGACTTTGTAAGAAACCAGAGAGAGGATTCTGGGTTCAGCACGGGGGAATTGGTTGAAAGTGAATGCCTGTGGGCCATAGTACAAAAAAAAAACATGCAAGAAAACTCTGTGCAAGCAACTAGACTGCTTTTAATATGCACTTTCAGCCTAGAGATTGCTCAGAGTCCTTCCCTTTCCTTGTGCCCAATGCCCTTCTCCATAGGAACATCAATCAGTAAAATATATGGTAATACACAGCAAGCATTTTGGGTTTATTTATCCCCACATTAAGGTACCCAATATGGAAGCATAAATAATGTCATTCAAATAAACTACCACTTAATGTAGTAATATTTTAAGCTGGATTTGTCAGAAAGGCTTGGGGCTGGCCAAGTTTTCAGCCCAACTTTGCAAATCCAACGTGTTTCTGGACCAACAAACATACAGGGCTCTCAACTTGTAGCACAGCCAAAAAACTCTTAGCATTTCACAGTTCTACTATTGCTGCACAGTCAAATAGCAATCACAGCAATAGTCTCTTGGTCTAAATGTGGGAAAGAGATACTAAACACAGCCAACTGACTAATGTGACTACCTATATTTGTGGGCTGCCACAACTGGCTTTGAACATCACCAAAAAAATCTTTTCTTTGCAATTATTGAGGTGTTTTCAGACATATTTTTTAACATGTCCTCCTAATTGCCCTGCTGGGAAGTATCTTGAAATATGACAAAGCAGATATAAAATTTAGAAGCCAAACTGCAGAATGAGCTGAGACCTGGGTCAGGCATGTAGCAAATACAACAGACTGCTTTTATGTTACCCCCTTTTTTAGCAGCTGTCTGGGAATACCTGGATTCTGGAGTTTAAGCAATATTATATGAATTTCTTAAAATTTCACCTTACTTTCAATTAATTTCTTTCATTTCTCAAATTAGGGAAATGGAGGATGTGGATTAATGCTAATCTTTAAGCCTGCTTTTCATCGGAAGTTGCTTTGTAAAAAGAAAAATGAGCCGCTTGAGTTCTCTGTTCCTCATTCTTGTCATATATTTGGAAAGGGACATAACAAATGTCCATTTGAATGTACTGGCAGCTGAAGACAGTCTTTGCATCTGGCTATGTGAGGCCTAATATCTGTTGGTCTGGGGGATGGAGGGTCTTGCTATAGCAAGAGTTTTTCATTTCTCCTCACCTTCAGTACTCAATTTGTCCAATCAAATTTAAAGTCATTTTGTGTTTCATTG